TTCCTGGTTTCTGGAATCTGAACTGACTGGTTTCAGTAACTAAAGGCCTATTCCCAAAAGGAGAAATCTTAGACCTTAATTTTAGGGTGAAAGCATTTTGGTCTTATTTCTAAGATGGATCATTTTGGTCTCACACTTTGATCCTAGCACTCCGGAGACAGAGATCCGTCTGGATCTCTGTGTGTTCAAGGCCATACCAGGAGAGAAACAGAGCCGGCAGTGGTGGCACACACCTTTAACCCCAGCACTATAAGGTTGAGATAGGAAGTGAAATGGCTGGGCACAGAAAAGCATATAAGGCCAGAGGAGACAGGAACTAGAGGCCTTTCGGCTGATGACTCAGGGGCTTTTAGTCAGAGGATTTATGGAGTTGGCGAGGTGAGAAGTGGCTGCGGCCTGTTCCTTTGTCTCTCTGATCTTCAGCATTTACCCCACCCCAGTATCTGGCTCAGGGTTTTTATATTAAAACCATTAGGGATTCGTGCATCACTCTTCCTCTCCAGACTTTAAAGGGAGCCTGTCCTTCGCTTTGAGATCACATCGTGTTTAGATCTCTACATATTGTGTCGTTTCCGTCCAATGTTCTTCTTCCCCCTTGAAGCCCACCATGGCCTTCAGCCCCTCTCGTTGTAATGAGCCTCTTTGAAGGGAATCATGTTGTCAGCGTCTTCTGCTGCCTGACCAATGCCCCTCCTGTTGGTTAAACGGCTCGCTGCTCGTGGCTGGCCGCGATGGAGGAGAATCACAGGCCGTGGTTACATTTTTAGAGCTTTATTGAGAGAGAAGAGGGGGGAAGAGAGAGAGGGAGAGAAAGACAGGACAGAGAGGACAGATGGAAGGAAGGAGCGGAAAGGAAAGAGAGGGACGCACAGAGGGCCCACCCGCTTTTTAGGCTGGGACGCCGTCCCAGGCTGATGGTGCAATTAAGGACAGAACCCTTACACCTCCTCTTTTATAATACTTCATTCCTGTCATAAGGGTGATGTGGGTGCCTCGGGCCCTGGCCCCCGACTGTGAGTGGCTGCCGCCTTGCTTGCTGACCTTTACCAGATGTCCTCCCTATTCAGATTCCCTGCCGGTCTCCTTCTCACCTGAGGATCACCGGAGAGCTTACCGGAGGTTCTTTGTTCCTACATCCCGTGTTTGGTGTAAACAACTTAGGTGCATCCTGTATTTGGTGTAAACAACTTAGATGCATGAATGTAGAACATTGGGTCTAGAATGTAGACCATTGGTAGTAAACTTCTGCCCTCCGGGGGTTCCTCCATTTGTGTTGTAAGCCTGTATTTAAGGTTTCTTCCCTCTTTCAATAAACGGCATTCGGCATTCAGCCATGGCGAATGACTCGCTGTCTCTTGTCTCTATTTTTAATCTGCAGCCCTTCGCTCGGACATGGTGAACGGGTATCGGTAATGCGGGCGTTACCGCTACAGGGTGACAAGCTGGTGTCAACACAAAAACACTATTCTTACCTTAAAAGGAGATAAGAGATCATTTATTTTGAAGTCAAATATGAGAGACTATGGCCAAGAAATACAGACTTGGGTCACCCCAAATTCCATATTCCACTGTGGTAAAGTTTGATGAGATTTTTCATAGTAACAGCACAAAGAAAGCTACAAATAAGTCACCTTTCAACTGCAATGGCAAACACTAAGTGGGTGGTTAGAGCAAAGCAGAGAAAACTCTGATTAGAACTTTAAAAATTGTGGAGTGGTTAGAATGCTGCAGGTCCAGAGTCCAGTTAGAATTTATCTCAGCCTATCTCTATCTGCCTTTTTAGCCATCTCTTCCCACTTCTGTGCCTGATCTCAAATCCATGTGATGAAGTGGAATCTTTTAAAATGTATCAACTTCACAGACTCTCGTTTCCACCAACCCAAAAGGTACGAGTGTCATCACACAGCACACGTGGAGCAAATGTGGCAGGCCTTAGCATGATCTGAATCCAGAAAGCATGAAGCAGAGGAAACAAGTAAACACACTAGCACAAATCTGTAGTGTTTTTTTTACAGCAAACCAGGCACTATTTACTGTTTTGCGTGGTTTTGTTGTGTTTGGGGTGTTTTTGTGGGGTTTTTGTTCTGTTTTGTTTTGTGTTTTTCAAGACCGTGTCTCATTATGCAGCTCTGGCTGTCCTGGAACTCACTATATAGACCAGGCTGTCCTCAATCTCACGGAGACCAACCTGCCTCTGCCTCCTGAGTGCTGTGATTAAAGGTGGTGTGCCACTACATCCAGCAACTTTGTATGTTTTATCTCATCTAATCTTCAGAATAACTCTACATTCAGGTACTATTTTAATCTTCATATTATAGTTGAGAAAATTTCCCCACAGAGACTAAGTAATTGGTTCATAGTCACTCAGGTCATGTATTTAACACCTGCAGCCTATTTTGGGCCCAGAAGTGTTATAACAGCAGCCACTTGGAAGGCTGCTCTAAGGCAGGACAATTGGGGAGTAGAGAAGACATGAGAAGGAAAAGGCTCTTTCATTCTTCTAGCTCTAAGACCCAGAGTGTTGTCTTTTTTATGCCGAATGCCGTTTATTGAAGGGGGTAGGAGGTCTTAAATACATGCTTACAGCACAGTGGGAGAACCCCAGAGGGCAGAAGTTCGCTACAGAAGTTTTTCAATCGTGCATCTAAGCTGTTAACGCCCAATATGCAGGATATGCAGACAAGGAACTTCCCTTAAGCATTCAGGAGGGTGGAACCCGGCAGGGAATTAGCAAAGGGAAGATATCAAAGACCTAGAGATTTTGACAAAATTAACCAGGCCACCTGAAAAGAACTGTTAAAAGTGGCCGATGAGGGGCTCAGCAGTTATGTGTGCCTATGTGGTGGCACACACCTTTAATCTCAGCACTCAGGAGGCAAAGACAAGCGGATCTTTCTGAGTCCAAGGCCAGGCTGGTCTACACAATGAGTTCCAGGCCAGCCAGAGCTACACAGTGGGACCCTGTCTGGGACCTCCATATAATTGGGCTCTGAGGAGTGTCTTCCCTTCAGTTCCTCCTTCCAGGAAATCCTCTATCCCAGAAATATGTCTCTTAGTTTATTCTGACCCTGCCAAGTTGGCAGTCATCTTGGGGCATGGACTCACACTACAGCTCTGCCACTCCTGGAGAGAGACACTCCATCTGAAATCTGTTTCCCATCGCAAAAATGCAAACTGTGGGGCTTGTGTGTCTGTGAGCAATGGCTGTTAACATAGACACTACTAAGCCAAAGGTCTGGTGCATTACATTGTGTGTAATGACCAATGTGTGAGTCAAAAAAAGCAAGCAGTAGGCATCCCACCTTACACACACACACACACACACACACACACACACA